TGCAGGGCATTTCCTGGCCGTGTCTGCCACAGGCAGGGTTTGTTGGCATTTTGATCTATGGCAGCGATTTTCAAACGTTTCTCCTCATGACCCGGTTGAAGAGAATTATTGGCGCCCACGACCCAACATCATTTGACTGGGGTGGGGCTGAGGAGGGGAGCTTTGGGGTGCAGGAGGGGGCTCCGGCTTTGGGGGGGCAGGAGGGGTTTACCTCAAGCAGCCCCTGGGCAGAAGTGCAGTGAGGGAGCTAAGGCAGCTTCCTGCCTCTCCTGGCCCTGCAGAAACAGCCAGCAGCAGGTTCCCAGCCAGTGGGAGAGCGGAGCTAGTGCTCCGAATCAGGGTCCCGCCTTTGGGTGGGATAGAGGAAGGAGAGGGCACCAGCCTCTCCCCCTTGAGCCAGGCCTGCTCCCCCCACTGCTCACCTGCTCCCCCTGCAGCCACGACGGGGCACCAGCCAGCACTAGGGGACGGAGGGGTAAAGGGTCTGAGTTGGAGGGGCTATTGGTACAGAAGCACTTGGAGAGACTTGAGAGTCGCTTTGGGCAGGTCCTTGCGCCTGTGTCCAATGAGGCAGACCCGGAGGAAGCAGGAGCCTCCCACTTTACTTAGGCTTGTGAGCGTGGGGAAGCCGGATTCCCAACGCTGCCTGCAGCTCAGGCCCAGAGCCTCCCTGGCTGAGCAAAAACAAATACCAGGCGAATTAGTCACTGGGAAGCGGCTGTTGGGAGGGAGCCGGCTCTCCTTCTCCAACACGGTGCACCGTCGGGCCTGCTGGGACTGGAAGCCTGCTGGAGAATTTCAGAAGGCTCCCGTTAGGGACCGACGGAAGCTGAAAAGCCGCTCGAAACGCCGAGTGCGTGTAAACGCTGGTCGATCGCGAGAGGCGGCGCTGGTTTAATTGTAGCTTGGTAGCTCTCTGAGGTCTCCTCAAAACCCACAACCTGTGGTGCAAGGCGCTGTACGGACACTAGGGATGTAAATGGTTAACCGGCTAACTGGTGCAAGGTGCTGTATGGACACTAGGGATATAAATGGTTAACTGGCTAACTGGTGCAAAGCGCTGTACGGACACTAGGGATGTAAATGGTTAACCGGCTAACTGGTGCAAGGTGCTGTATGGACACTAGGGATATAAATGGTTAACTGGCTAACTGGTGCAAAGCGCTGTACGGACACTAGGGATGTAAATGGTTAACCGGCTAACTGGTGCAAGGTGCTGTATGGACACTAGGGATATAAATGGTTAACTGGCTAACTGGTGCAAAGCGCTGTACGGACACTAGGGATGTAAATGGTTAACCGGCTAACTGGTGCAAGGTGCTGTATGGACACTAGGGATATAAATGGTTAACTGGCTAACTGGTGCAAAGCGCTGTACGGACACTAGGGATGTAAATGGTTAACCGGCTAACTGGTGCAAGGTGCTGTATGGACACTAGGGATATAAATGGTTAACTGGCTAACTGGTGCAAAGCGCTGTACGGACACTAGGGATGTAAATGGTTAACCGGCTAACTGGTGCAAGGTGCTGTATGGACACTAGGGATATAAATGGTTAACTGGCTAACTGGTGCAAAGCGCTGTACGGACACTAGGGATGTAAATGGTTAACCGGCTAACTGGTGCAAGGTGCTGTATGGACACTAGGGATATAAATGGTTAACTGGCTAACTGGTGCAAAGCGCTGTACGGACACTAGGGATGTAAATGGTTAACCGGCTAACTGGTGCAAGGTGCTGTATGGACACTAGGGATATAAATGGTTAACTGGCTAACTGGTGCAAAGCGCTGTACGGACACTAGGGATGTAAATGGTTAACCGGCTAACTGGTGCAAGGTGCTGTATGGACACTAGGGATATAAATGGTTAACTGGCTAACTGGTGCAAAGCGCTGTACGGACACTAGGGATGTAAATGGTTAACCGGCTAACTGGTGCAAGGTGCTGTATGGACACTAGGGATATAAATGGTTAACTGGCTAACTGGTGCAAAGCGCTGTACGGACACTAGGGATGTAAATGGTTAACCGGCTAACTGGTGCAAGGTGCTGTATGGACACTAGGGATATAAATGGTTAACTGGCTAACTGGTGCAAAGCGCTGTACGGACACTAGGGATGTAAATGGTTAACCGGCTAACTGGTGCAAGGTGCTGTATGGACACTAGGGATATAAATGGTTAACTGGCTAACTGGTGCAAAGCGCTGTACGGACACTAGGGATGTAAATGGTTAACCGGCTAACTGGTGCAAGGTGCTGTATGGACACTAGGGATATAAATGGTTAACTGGCTAACTGGTGCAAAGCGCTGTACGGACACTAGGGATGTAAATGGTTAACCGGCTAACTGGTGCAAGGTGCTGTATGGACACTAGGGATATAAATGGTTAACTGGCTAACTGGTGCAAAGCGCTGTACGGACACTAGGGATGTAAATGGTTAACCGGCTAACTGGTGCAAGGTGCTGTATGGACACTAGGGATATAAATGGTTAACTGGCTAACTGGTGCAAAGCGCTGTACGGACACTAGGGATGTAAATGGTTAACCGGCTAACTGGTGCAAGGTGCTGTATGGACACTAGGGATGTAAATGGTTAACCGGCTAACTGGTGCAAGGCGCTGTATGGACACTAGGAATGTAAACGGTTAACTGGCTAACTGGTGCAAGGTGCTGTACGGACACTAGGGATGTAAATGGTTAACCGGCTAACTGGTGCAAGGTGCTGTATGGACACTAGGACTGTAAACGGTTAACTGGCTAACCAATGGCCCAGCCGGGCTGGTGTGTCCTCTCCGCCCGTCTGTGTTTAAGCCGTGAACCGGTTAAACATAACGTTTAAGCAGTTTACTGATTGAACAGGATCCCTAAGGCAGATGCCCGGGGAGGTCTCGTCTGAATGGAGGGTCACAAATTCCTCCTCTGGACGAGAAGGGAGTGAGCGCTGATAGTCCTGTACTGAGCCCCCTGTTTTGATGCGGAGTGGAGCGCGCCGTGCCGCCGCAGAGGACAGATTGCCCCGTGCTTGAGAGCCGTTTCCCTCTCTCGGGGCAACTGGGTGGGTCTCACGGAATTCAATTCTCCAAGGGGTGTCCTGTTATAATAATATGTCTCACGCCTCCGATCCGGGTGCCCTACCCTGGAGGTCGTGGTCCCTGATTCTCACTAATGCACAGGTGTTGTCCTCTGGAGAAAAGTCATGTTGGGCCCGATCCATGGAAGAACATGGACCAGCTAAGGATGTAAAGGGTTAACCGGTTACCCAGTAAGCATCACCTTTACTGGCTGGGCTGGAACAGCCCGTCTGTCCACGGCCGGCCGGGCTGGAGGGCCCACTGTGGGTTATCCAGACCCTGGTTAACTGGTCAAAGGATTAACATTATATCATTTAACCGGTTAACATTTTTAAGGGGTATTTCCATCCCCGGCCCCTCTCCCCCTCCTCTCAGCAGGCCTGCTTCTCAGCTCCAGACTGCAAGCCTCTTTTGAAAGAGGCTTTTTCGAAAGATACATTCGAAAAAGCCTCTTTCGAAAGAGAGCGTCTAGACTACACGCGGAACTTTCGAAAAAGCAAGCTGCTTTTTCGACAGAAAGCAGCGAGTCTGGATGCTCTCTTTCTAAAAAGCCCTGTTTGCTTTCAAGAATGCCTTTTTTCGAAAGAGCACTTTCGAAAAAAGGCGTACTTCCTCGTGGAATTAGGTTTACCGCCGTCGAAAGAAAAGCCGCGTTCTTTTGATTTAATTTCGAAAGAACGCGGCTGCAGTCTAGACAGAGGTGAAGTTTTTTCGAAAAAAGGCTACTTT